TTTATGGGTAGTTTATTTTTCCTGTAATACATTATAGTTTTTTTTAAGACAAAGCTAATTGAAAGGGACGCTGAGCAGAGTTACCACCAGGGATTACAAATAATTACTTTTTTTTCTTCTGCAGTTCGGCGCCCCCTCCAGCAGATGGTGCTCTAGGCAACCGCCTAGTTTGCCTATGCCAAGAGCCAGCTCTGCCAGAGGTTTAGACGAGGGGTGCCCAAACTTTTTCCCCAAGWGGGCCAAAAATGATCATCTATACGGGGCTGCGGGCCAAATGTAGTAACAGAATACATGAAATACAAATACTTTTAAATAAAGTACTTTATTTTTAATGATTAATCTTTCAGCCAGTGCAATGGCCCACTTTGGTTTTTAGTGAAGTCTGCCATACGCTCAAGCAGCAAAGGCTCATGGGACATTTCATAAATTGATAAAATATGAGTTTTTGTGGCCTTATAACGTGGGCAAATCTACATGTGTGGTTAAATCTAATTTAAATACCTCTTGTTGTTACTTGTATTTCACGTTTCATGTTTAATATTAATATATCAAAGATAAATTGTACAATAAAAATACAAATCACAAATAAAATGAAAGGCGGCAGAAAGAAGGAAAAAAAAGTCTTATAGTATCTGCATCTATATTCGTCTGACCAATGAATAAAATGACTTTCAGTGGAAATACTGTGTTTCTACATAGTATGATGGGTTACAACCTTGTAACTATACAATTGCTGGTGGGCCAAATCAAATGGCTTGGCGGGCTGAATTTGGCCCGCGGGCCCCACTTTGGGCTCTTCTGGTTTAGACTAATCGATTAATGACAGAGCGGTAGCTGTTCTGGTCAAACCTTAAAAATAACCTTACACACAATTTCATGCAAAATTGGGAAATGGAGAAATATGTGTTGTAAATGACACTCATCTATTACCACAACAAATTTTAATTCCATATTTGTAAAATTACTTGATTTATTGACTAATGTTAATTTAGTGCAAAATTTGTTGTATGGCTATCTTGAACTGGATTTACTTTAACAGTAAGTTAATTAAGTATACTGTAGATCTACAGCTTACAAATATTGCTTGAAATGTTTTGCTTGCATAAAAAATTATTTAGTCTGTCAATTAATACTAAAGTTTCAGGTAACATAAAGGTAGAGCCTGTGAGCAGCATCTGTCAACCTATGCATTATGATTGACTCAGTCACAAGTGTCCTGAGAAACAGACAAAAACTTGTTTAGATAAGGGCAAAAACATCATAATCCACCTTTAACTTTTAGCAGCAGGTGATGATAAACTGAACAAAATCAAAGACAACTAAAAACAACAACAGCTGAAGAGGCAAGTAAATGAAGTGAATTACGAGGATCTGACAGGAAGCAGGTGAAAACCAGGGACTATGGCTATAGGACTTGCTGCAGGTGTTATGACTAGAAATCAGGACCAGGGGTCAAACTGATGCAGAAAACAAACCTGACTAAAATAAACCAAGATGGTCCAATAGACTTCTAACAACGTGAGTCCAGGATACCTCAACCCAGCATAAAGAACAAACTAAATTAAACAGAGTGTGTCTGAAGAAGAGACTTAACAAAAACAAACAGAGACCACTGAGAAAGTGCTCTGAGGGCCAACCACTAAATCAGGTTCTGAAGGAAAACCCACGGGCCGGCAGGACTGTGTCGTCAAGCTGAGACCCCTCAGTGAGCTGAGCTGGCACTGATGGAGGAAGGACTGCCTCAATAAAACTGGACACATGAGAGCCAGACCTTTGTTGTAGCTTACGGCTAACTTTTTCAGCTTTTAGCAACTTGAAGCTAGTTTTCAACTTTTGGCTAGATTATTAT